ATTGCGAAACAGTTTTATAATTCATTTCATAATTTGTATACCTTTAACGAATTTTCGATTAACAAACTCAACGATTTCATCAATGTCATTTGAGCGAGCAATGACAACACTGCACTGAAAAAAAAAAAAAAAAAAAAAAAAAAAAATTATCTTCAGCACGCGTGACAGTGCATCGGAAATTCTAAAGATATGTTGTTTTTAAATTGTTCTGTGATATTGTTATTAAACTGAATTTTATGATTTAAGTGGGAAAAACATATTTGATAAATAAAGGTAATACATAAAACGTTAAAAGAAATACTCTTTAGGGGTAATATAAAATCAGAAAGCTTTCAGAATTTTTTACTTTTTATTTCAATACATTCTGTGGTAGAAATCTAAAGATAGAAAACTATTGAGGGAAAACCAAATTAAATGCAAGAGGCTCTTCGAAATAATGCAATAATGAAAGATTTGATTTGCAATTTCAACGTTCATTCATTCCTTTGAAAATAAGCGAATAATTATACATAAGCTGAGAGTTTAACAGCAACGAAGCGAGAAAATTCTTCGTGATAGTGCATCTTTTAAATTATAATTACCTGTCATCTAATGATGGTAGATTCCTAATGATACTGCAATAATGAAAAGCAATTAAAATCAGAATTATTATGCGTTATAATGAAGCTCCCAAGAAGATCATTAAAATAACTCCTTTCGCTAACTTTAATGATTTCGGTGTTACTCACAAAGAGAATAATCAGACCCTTTTTTTGTTTGTCTTAGTTCTTTCCCATTTGAGATAGACATTTTCCCATTTGAGACAGTGTATTAGATTCTTTATGTTTAACATGAAAGATTTTAATCAAAATATCAGCCTGGTTTCATTGAATCAGAAAACCTTTTAGAACCTCAGACTTTTGTTTTATACCTAGAATACAGTTTGGTGGAAATTTAAATCTGTTCTTATCGATTTTTTGCGTAAAATTTCTGTAACAAAATTGCTTAGAGGGGAAACGTTTTCAAATATTGTACATTATTTGAAAGAGTGAAAATATTTGTAAAAATAATATTGTTATTTGCATAAATATTATTTTGGTATTATAAATGTAGTACATTTTGGTAGAATTTAAATAAGAAAACTACACCTTTGGTATAAGCATACAAATGATGTAAATTTATTCCAAAAACGCTGTTTCTTATTTAAATACAGTAAGAAAATATTTTGATTGATGTACGGAAAACAATTATATTAATCAGGAAACCAAGGCCCAGATTTAGTACGGAAAATAATTAATATCTTGTTAAATACTTATTCTTTAGGTTTTCACATGAAAATAAACTGATAAAAAATGTAAAAGAGAAAGGAAATGTGGGTTTCAAGCCCATATTATGAATTTGCACATCTTCGCATTGCAAATAATTTTCCATTGAATCATCCCAATACTTTAAACAAGAGATTAAATAATTTTCGACTGCTTATTGGATAAAGATTAATTGTCGGATAACTATCCAATAATTCGACTGAATAATGATAATTAGATTTTCCTTCAGCTCATTCGTAAATATGTGAGAGCGATTGATTACTCCATGAAATTATCTTCATTCATAAAATAGCTAATTCTTTGCATCAGTGACAGTAATTTTTGAAACTAAACACATAATAGGAAACAGATATACAAGAAACACAATTTCCAGATTACCAGGAAATATACTACAAAAAAATTCGTAGGGAGATTTGCAGATTTTATTAATATGAGTTCACTCAAATCTTCTTTCATTCTAAAACATTATATACATTTTTTGCTGCACTTCATTTAAACTTATTTCGTCAAATTTCATGAGAATTATATTTCCCACTAAATCAATTCAATTTTCAGAAGCAATTCGGCCAACGGGCAAAAAGACAAAATTTCCGATGCACACAAATTAACAGCTAACTTTTGATCCCACTGGGCAAAAAGACTCTGAAGGCAGAGTACCAATCAACTTAATTTATTATACCACTAAGTGTTTGAATAGCCTTATGTTTGTCTCCTAACTCCGTAGGTGGTAGAGTAATATCCTAATTCTCACAGAAAGACAACAATAGACGTAAACAAATGATTCATTGTGACAACCAAAAATGAATACTACTCTAATTTTGATAATGTAAAAGGGCAATTGGAGCATAAGAAATAATTCACAAAGCACAAATTGAGATGCATTGCCTTTTGTAATAACATTTCTATAATCCAAGGACTTCTCTAAATACAGACAACTGAAATACAAAGAAAAATGTGACGTCAGCAGTAGGTTTCTACATATATAACAATTGATAGCGTAGTACAGATAAATCCGAAAATATCATCCTGTTATAAATGACTATCAAAAACAATTTAATTAGCACCTATTTACTTGTGATATATTAAATTAAACTTTACCACTCAAATTTCTTGTCCCATATTGTAGAAATCCTATATGAGATCCTTTTGTCAAGTAAGACATATGCAGTCTGTAATTCATTTTAGTTCAGACACCTTAGGCAAATCCGATGTGATTCATGCGAAGGCAAGCATAATGCAGATTTTGAGTTCGTCAGTACTGGACAGCGCTGGAAAATAAATTCAGTACCTGTTACATAATCCTATATAATAATAATCATCATGATAATAACAGCAACGGAAACTAAAACGGAAATTATAAAGGAAAGAATGAATTAAATAAAGAAGTCTGAAAGGGTTCAGATTTTAACCCTCGTCCAAAAGGGTTTGTTAAGGATTTTTTTACGCTCTCGCTAGGTTCGTAGTTTACCCTCTGCTGTTGCAGTGACTCTTGCTAACCCATTTCCTTTTGACATTTTAGCTTTATTTATTACTAAGCATCATTTTCTTCGCAATTACGCTACACACAATTCAACAGCAAATTTACAAAAATTTTAAAAGTAGCATAGTAGCAGATGTTTAGAATTTCAGATGCAGTGTTAAAATGCCGCATAAATTTTTTATGTTTTCAGTCTTTTCACAAGTTATCATATCAAAGTTCAGTTTTCATAGTAAATGAGCGTGCAAAACGTATTCTTATCCTTTTTATTATTAATTTTTTGTGTTAAATTTATTAAATAAATATCATTTCTTCTCCCTTACGCCACATAAAATTCAGTTTAACAGCAAAATCACAAAATACTTAGAAATAGCGTATCTTTAGAATTTTTGATTGACAGTCTTGTGCTCTGAAGATGAAAGTGTTTTTTTCCATACAGTGTTGCCAAAGCTCGTTTTAAAATAGTTCACTTTGTTAATCAAAAATTAATTAAAATTTTACAATATAGAAAATACCGAATTCGAAACTTAAAAAGTACCGTCATTATTTTGCAATGCGAGGAATATACACACATACATGCATGAAGCTTCTTCATTATTCAATTTTCTTAAAAATAACACAGGGAAATAAAATTTGGTGGCAAGAATTTGAAACGTTATACAGAAATTTAAAGTGGACGACCAAAAATCGAATTTCGAGAATAAATACCTAATTTGGGTTAACGCTCTTTTGGGCTTATAATAATCCATGCAATAACATAAGGCATGGAGCTAGGCTCACAAATCTGGAGCAATATGAAGGGCCGTTTACTCTTTTGAATTACAATAAGGATGTGTGTCACTACAAATGGATCCCATGTAGAAAAACTGCAACGAGTGACAAAAGGCCTTAAAGTAACACAGATAAATATGCATTTATTTCATTGTTGTCCAGAGTAATACGAAGATTCGCTATTTCTTACCCTGCATTAATCGTCTATGAAATTATATACGAGGATGAACTACGAGATCATATTCGCAGGAAACTTCTGGAACGTAATCTTTTTTCTATATAATTTTTAGGAAAACGAGAGGGCTTACATTGTGAACATCTTGACACCATAGGTCGAATCACCTATTATATAGGTACAGGTAAAAAGATGGGCTATATAGTTACAGGCAGAACCACAAGTATTACAGAGATGCCTGTGGTACTACAGAGGTTAGTATTTATGGTAACTGTAACCTAACAAACTGCTAAGCATTTCGAAAGCCGATTTGGAATTCCGAGAGATAATAGATCGGATGGGTCTATCCGAAAGTCTCTTACCCGTCTTTAACTAGCAGCAACCTCTCGAGAGGATTTCTGGCTCGCAATGTGCTTTGAGAACCCCCTTTCTGCCCAGAAACTATAATACGATTACAAAAATGCATGCCATCTCCGAAATTCGAACCCAGGTACTTCGGCACGACAGTCCATATCACTAACCACTCTCCACTCTGCTTCATACACCTAATTATATGGTCCATTTTTTGACTCCATTGGTCCTTTTTGTTCTATTTCGGATATTGAAGCTTGAAATTTCTTTCCAATACTGTGATAAAGAAAGCCTATTTGGTTATTTAATCCAATTTTAATGAGCAGATGTGGTCACAAAATATATCATGAAAATGGCCTACAGTACGTGTTTGGTAGCAATCAGAAACTATTGCAGAAGTGCAGTACGGTTAGTAGCGGTTACTTAGAGAACACCCAAAGGCCAAACCATCTGTTGAGATCATTGCATAATTTATTGTCTATAAATGAATATTAGGCAAAATTAGATAATTCTTAAATGGACTTAAATGTTCAAAGATTTAGCTAAATTGAGAGCACCTTTTGTTCAAGCGTATGATAAGTATATTTCTGGTTTTAAGCTACAGTGGTTTAAGCTACATCCAGATTTCCAAACTTTCAGCGTGGCAACTGCGCTATATCTTAATGCATGAATTACATTTTGCGTATATTTAAACATTATTATGTTGTTTGTACCGAAGTGCAAACACAATTTTAGAGTTTGACAACAATGTACATTTCATATTTTGATATCAAAGGAAAGAATTAGAATTCTTTATCCGATATTTCGGTAACCCTATAGTACTTTATGTATCATATATATTTTTAAATAATAAAAATTAAAGGAATGAACATTAAAAATTAAAGAAAATTATTTTAATCTCCTGTTTTTATCTTTCAGTATGCGACTTACTGGGCGAAGGTATGGCTGCCATTTTTGGACCTCAGTCCACAGAATCCAGCAGCGCTGTGCAATCAACATGTGGGGCACTGGAAGTGCCCCACATTCAGACGCGGTGGGATTACAGAGTGAGACCCCGCATGCATACTTTGAATCTGTATCCACCGCCCAATGCCCTTGGATCTGCATACCTGCAATACGTCAAAGAAAAGAACTGGAAGCAGTTCGCCATACTGTATGAGCAGAATGACGGTAAGTGAAAACTATTTCATAGTACATTTCTTAATGTGTTAGAAACGCTCTTATAGGACCTTTCCTAAAATGTCTGGCCCACCAGCGGCTGAGCGGTAAAGTCGCTGAAAACTTGTAGTTCGGTCCGAGGCTCGAATCCGGCAAACGGGCTTGATGCATGGGTGTTTTCTAGTTCCCCCCCATGTGTAACAAGCATAGGAGTCAGTTTTCCTTAGAAAGTCCACCACGAAGGCATCCCTTCTCTTAGGAAGTTAGCCCTCGAGTTTTTAAAGTAATCACATAAACGAAACCCAAAATATTTGGGCAGTTAAGCTACGCTATGTTACGCTACTATGAAAATATCATCCCTCAGCTCTGCGAATGCTAAACATGTAGTCGTTAATTTATCTTCCAAGCAGCCTCGTGCGTAACCTGTCTTCCTGAATGTTGCCATTTGCAAAACATAAGTTTATCCAGATTTCGAATTTAATCGTTTTGTAATTGCATAATAAGCTTAGATATGTGAAAGTAATAAATATATCCTATTAAATTAACTATTATTTTTTATTTTTAACAATTATACTTATTAAATGTAAAAATGAATGTATGTGCCTGGTATAGAACAGTTTCATTCAGTATTTTTATTCCATTCTTCCAAAAGAAAAAGTCTTGTTCAAAATCTCATCTTTCACGCCGAGTATATTTTAATGTGAAAGTGATGCTGAAGCTAAATACGATGTATTTGGTAAACCATTCAATCATTCATTAGTTCTTAATTTATTATTTATTTCCCCATAATTAACGCGATTTACAACATTTAACCATCCTAAAACGTAACTCAAAATAATTTTTGACAAATAAAATACTACATATTAATATCAAGTTATTGAAAATGTTGATAAAAGTAATAATAATTACGAGCGTTTGCTTAAGATACAATTTTGTCTTCCAGTTTTTCTTCTGAGATAATAAAGTGGGTAAACATGTATTCATATGTGTATTTATTCTAAAACGTTTTAAATACAGCTAACATAAAATCAGGGTAAAATATTACAAAATGAATGATAAATAAAAAAATCAAGGTAATTTTTATAAGCTTTTAAATTAGTTCACTCATGTATTTGTTGCTAGGGTCAAAGTTTGTCATCGATTTTTTAACAACTTCTTGATGAGCTACTGTGTTCACATATTGTACACACTGTACACATAGTGTTTGTAGATGAAAAGTTTGTCATCGATTTCTAAACAACTTCCTGATGAGCTACTGTGTTCACGCATTTTACATATATTCATACATTTTACATACTGTGCACATAATGTTTGTAGATGACAATACAATGTGATGAAATGACATTTCAAAAATTTTCGTTGCATGTTTTATATTTTAAGATTAAGTGATTTTTTGTACGTATTTGTTTAACGAAAAAACTAAAAATGTCAGAATTTTTTGTTTGCCTTTTGAGAAAGAGCGGAAAAAATCTTTTAAATGGAAGTTTTAGCTTAATTCTTCGTTTCTGGTGAACTTTCCAAAAAATAGCTGGTTTTTTTTTCCGCCTTGCATTTACTTCCAAATTTCGACATCTAAAAATATATCGGATACAAAATTTGAAATTTTCTCATACTATACTCAAGCTCTGCCATTTTTTTAAAAAAGTACATTTAAAGAATATTAATTGATTTATTTTCCATATTTTTTAAAAGTATACTGCAGTTTGAAGTGGAAGAGAAAAAATCGGCTCTTCTTCCCCATCTCTAGTAACTTCAGGGTTATGATGTCATTAAGTCATATGATTCTTTTGACTTCTGTACAGATTTCTTTGCATTTAATATTTATTTCATTTTATTAGTTTCAAAAACGGAACAGTTTAATAATTCATTATTATTATTTAGTTAATAATTATTATCAGTTATTTTATAATTATTATTATTTACTTAATAATTGATTATTTGCAACGAAATTTATCATTTTTAGTTTTTTCCATTTCATAAGTTTATATGCATTTTCTTCAATATTTATTTCAAAAAATATATCGTTATAAATATTATAACAAATTAATAAAAATATAATTAAGTAACATAAATAACAATTAATAAACATATAAACAAATTTTTAAGCATAATAAAATATATTTTTCACCACATTTTTAAAACAAGAATGATAACAAGTATCAGTTAAATATTTTTCAGATTTTTTTAAACCAACTACGCTTTTGTACATTTTTTATAACTCGATCTTGATGCTTGTCGCTAGGGATAAAAACCTTTACTGTAGGTTTTTTTAAGCTATTTCCTGATAAGGTCTTCAGCACAAATTTTGCACATTGTAGATGACAGTAGAATGTGGTGCGGCAATATTTTTTCACAATTTGATTTAGATTTTTTACTTCTTTGTACGAAATAAAGAAAGCATTTTAATCCCCAAAATTTCAAGAGTAATATTTCAACGAAATATTAATTTCAACTGTTCTGGAATTCAGTTGGAGTTTTTCTTTCATGCCGCCTGTACGTACGCTCCCTTTTTATCCAAAATGGGTTGTAAAACGGATTTATAATGGATTCAAGAGGGAGGTTTTGGTGACGTCTGTAAAAACACACAGACGTCTGTACGTACACACAGACGTCACAGACTCACACAAAAATACACAGACGTCACAGACGCACACAAAAACACACAGACGTCACAGACGTCTGTACGTACGTATGTACGTATCTCTAATAACTCAAAAGTAGTTAGTCGTAAAAGTTGAAATTTTATATATTTGACTACTATAACATCTAGTTGAGCACCTCCTTTTTTATTGCTTTCGACAATACCAAACGTATGTATGTATATATATAATATATATATATATATATATATATAATAATTTATTTTTACTAAAGAAATATTTATTATATTATCTCTTAATATAAATTTAGTGGAAGCATCAAAAAAGAGGGAACCCGTGTGTAGGAAGTTTAATTCCGAAAATTGATTTTTAAAGTAAGTTGAATGTAAATTATTAAAACTGTTTTACGGGAACTTGAATTTAAATCATGAAAAATAAAATTTCAAACTTTGAAAAAGAAATTAAATTAAAAGCAAGTAATTATCGCTATTGATCGGAAAATAGTTGACTTTTCAAGGGAAACCAACCAACTCCCGTTTAATGAACAATAATTAATATATGCGAAAATTATTGTTCATTGAACGGGAGTTGGTTTGTTTCCCTTGAAAAGTCAACTAATTTCCGATCAATAGCGATAATTACTTGCTTTTAATTTAATTTCTTTTTCAAAGTTTGAAATTTTGCTATTCATGATTTAAATTCAAATCCTAGTAAAACATTTTTAATAATTTACATTAAAGTTACTTTAAAGCACAATTTTCGGATTAAACTTCCTACATATGGGTTCCCTCTTTTTTGATACCTCTACTAAATTTATATTAGGGGATAATATAATCAATGTTTCTTTAGTAAATAAATTATTATTATCTTACTTTGCCGCTATTGCGCAAGTATTAGAAAAACTTTATATAAAATACCCTTACCCGACCTTTATTTTCGCAATCTTTGACCATAGTTACAGAAGTTACTTCCAGGTACAGATGTGTTTTAAATAACGAAAATATTCATATTGTGGCAAATTAAAAAAATAATTTCGACAAATAATGAAATCTAACTTTTTATGTCGTCTCCCGTTTCCTATATTTACCTTTGGAAACGTTTTTAAACTTGTCAAGAAAAAATGAAATTGTAAATATTTTGACACCTGTTCGACAAAAATTGACCCGGATATTTAATTTACAAATTTGCAATTTCTGATGGCATTTTCAACTAGCCTTGAGAATCGGTTAATTAAGTTAGAGTAATTCGAGGAAATAAGTTTAAAGGAAGTGTAACAAAAATATACTATGTATATTTTCATAGTCCGTAAAAGGAAGTCGTAGTGTCTACATCAGATTTATTTTAATTTAATACTGAAACAATTTTTCGCACATATCTTCGTTTAACAACGAACTAAAACTCTAAAAATTTAACTGTTTACCCTTGGGATAAAAAAAGGGCAAAATCTTTTTCATGAATTTTACGAGAAATTTTTGACGTATTTCTTAATTTTTTCCCGAATGTTTGAAAATCGCTGAAGTTTTCCCGTCCATTTGATGTTACAGAACTATTGTATTTAAAAGAGTGATTCTTCGTTGTTGAAAAACGATTTTTCAACTGAATAATTTGGCTGACAATCGGTCATTGAGACTTAAAGAATAAAAATAAAACAAAAAATAAAATATCTGAAACTTTCAGATTTTATATTACGCCCAAAGGGGCTTTTTTTTACGTTTAATGTGTTACCTTTATTTATTATATATAATGTTCTTCGCACTTAAACCACAAAATTCAATTCAACAGTAATATCACGAAATACACAAAATATTTAACAAGCACACACAGTCGATAGACAGTCAAATTTTCGATACACAGTAGTCTCTTGCGCTGGAGATAAAAATGTTTCTCTTCTCCGTACACTATTGCCATTACCCGCTTTGAAATCGTTGAGTTTCTTAAGCAAAAACTCATAAATGCTTTACAACATATGAAATAGATAATAAACCAAATTCCAAATTTCGGCTTCCAGACTCCCATATTCGGGTGAAGACGTACGCTCTCCGAAATTGGATGGCTCTAGGTGCAGTTGTTTTATCCCAATGCGAGAAACATACATCCATTTATGCAGATTCTTCATTATTTAATTTCTTTAAATATAAAAACATGGCTCTAATATTTGGTGGCAACAATTCGAAAAGTGATTTGACGTTTATAGTAAATCGACGCAAAATACCAAAGCGAAATTACGATGATTTTTTCCTGGAGGGCTTTTTGAAGCTTATCAAGCGATATGACAAATGTCTCAATGTACTTGGTACTTATGTGGAAAAATAAAGTTATGTCATATCTTTAATGTCTCATTCTATTTTTTGACTTTCATACACAACTCTGACCACAGTCGACAGGGGAAACTTATTTTTCAACTTACCTACG